CATGTACGATATGCAGCTAATATCTTTACCTTATTATGTATAAAGTGATGCAGGAGGCAGGTCATTGTTTTTGCTTAGGTATCGATGTCCAAATTTGCCTTACAAATTGTCACGCTTCACAGATAAAACATGACTTTACACGTTAAATCCACAGACTATCATGCGGTGCACAATACAGTGCACAGGGTCAGAAAGTACTCAGTATACCGAAGAGGGGTTTACCAAAATTATTATTTCAAATGTTATGTTACCCCGTGACACACCGAACAAAATTTAGCAAAGCCAAAAAAATCCCTTACCCTTGGTCTGTTCATGTGTGTGTGTGTGTGTGTGAGTGCGTGTGTCGCACATGATAGAGTCTACAAAAAATTAGTCCCCAAGCTTGTTAATACAAGGTCGTTCTTCTTTAAAAGGTTAATTCGAACATCTTTTAGATGTGATTTATATACATAGGCCTATTCCAACTCAGTAGGCCTATTACGTATTATTCCAATATTTTTACAAACGATTTAACTTGAGTATTCAACCTGAGTACATTCACATACATATTCATGTACTTGTGCAAACAAAAGTTACATGTCATGTCACATACCCTGTTTTATTCTAAATTTTGATAACAACATATTCACCTGCAAACAGAAAGTAACGCCAAATTTCCCAGATCGATCACTAAAGGCAAACACTTCCAATCTTTATGATGCCTTGCCACGAAAATTTTACCCAGAATTAACAACACACTGACATCCCAAGTATACCTACTTGAATATCTCTCGTTCACATTGTTGATGTGGCTGACATGCTACTGTAGAAATTCAAAAATTTCAGTGACTTACCGATTTTACAAGCCTCGTGCAAATGGCGACACTCTATTATTAGAAATGTCGAGGGGAATTCCCCCTTATTGCTATCGACTTCATTTTAAAACGAAGGCAAACATCTAGTTGGACGTTTAAAATTGTCCAATGGAGCATGCATCCATAGTGTTTTAACATTTAAAATATTAAAATAAGCTTGATATGTTTATGTGCTATTTATTACACATATGTCAGGGTTGTGAGCCTATGACAAATTGAACACATTGATAACATAGGCCCTAATGTTCATGTGTGTGTGTGTGTGTGTGTGTGTGTGTCGCACATTATCAAGTCTACAAAAAATTTGTCCCAAAGCTTATAAAAACATGGTCGTTCCTCTTTAAAAGGTTATTTCGAACATCTTTTAAATCTGATTTATATACATATTCCAACTCAGTATTACGTATTATTCCAATATTTTTTTACAAACGGTTTCACTTGAGTTTTCAACCTGAGTACATTTACATACATTTTCATGTACTTGTGCAAACAGAATTACATGTCATTTCACATAATTATTCCAAATCTTAATGATGTCGTAAGCAGGACAGATTGTATTGCCCCATAGTTAAAAGCACACTGATATCCCAAGTACAGCTATTAGTATTTATATGCCTCTTGGTCTCAGTGATATGGTTGTCCCTTTCCTTCAGAATTTCGTAAAAACATCATTACCTTACCTACTGCTAATGGCCGGTGGCTAACATTATTATTATTGTGAAAGTTTCTTTAACTTAGTCATTCATACCCTGTTTTATTCCAAAGCACTTTATATCTAAATTTTCATAACAACATATTTACTTGCAAACAGAAAGTAACGCAAAATTTCCAAGATCGATCAGGGCAAACGTTTCCAATCTTTATGATGTCTTGCCACGAATTTTTTACCCAGATGTTAACAATACACTTATATCCCAAGTAGAACTACTTGAATGTCTGTCGTTCACGTTGGTGTGCTTGACATGTTACCTCAGAAATTCGAAAAATGTCAGTATTACTTACCGATTTTACAAGCCTCCTGCAAATGGCGACACCCTATTTTTAGAAATGTCGAGGGGGAATTCCCCTTTGTTGCTATTGACTCTATTTTTTCAACCAAAACAAACATCTAGTTCAAGGACGTTTATTGTCCAATGGAATATGCATCTATATGGTGTTTTAACATTTAAAATATTAAAATAAGCTTGATATGCTTATGTGCTGTTTATTACACATGTCAGGGATGTAGGCCTAATAGTATAACAAAATGAACACATTGATAACGTAATAGGGCCTACAGTGGCAGATCATGGGACACAGTAATCCACAGTGGGTCTCCGCCCCCTCCTCCTCTTTAGTTTGTGAGGTAGGCATTTCCCCTTCTGTCCCTTTCCAAATAATGATACACCAAGCAAAACAAGACAAAGCCAATAAAAAAAAAATTCACGTATTCCACTGCTCACTGCTGCTTGACACCAATTTATGAAATGGAATGTTTATGAAAGTATCGGTTTTATAAACCAAGTTCTAACAGTGCTGCCGTTTTTTTTTTTTTTTTTTTCGAAATTGCAATTACGTTCAAACATTCATGCATCTTGGTCTGTAATATGGTGGAGAAGCAAGATAAAATTTTCTGCTATAATTCTGAAAAAATATTTTCAATGATAAGTTAAAAACAACTCAAACAACCATATTATATTATGTCACTTTACTTGCTGCACAATATCTGCATTTTGTACATCAAAACTACTAAATATCCTTTATAATTTTTCTCACTTCTCAAAACATCAAATCTTCCTTGACGTTTTCAAACAAAATCCCATTTTCACTTGTTTCTCCTCATTATTATAAACAACTCTACCTGCAACAACACATACAAACAATTTACAATACAAAATTATAGAAGTTTTCTTGTTATATAATATTGCTGGACTGTCACAGGCGAGTTACGGATTGAAGCACACCAGGGGCCTCATTTTACAAACAAACTCGACTTAATAAAAGTTGAACTCATAACCTTAACATCACCAACTGACATCTTTTTTCATCAAAGGTAAATCCTTAGTAGCGTGCCAAAATACACCCCACTGTCAGAATTAAAAAATGTTTCTCTCAAATTAAAACCAAAGTCCAACCAGTGGTTTAATCGGATGCAAAAACAATTCTGTTACTCCAGTTTCTTTGTAAAATGGGGCCCAATACTACCTATGGCCTTACTACAAATTTTATTTACAGATTGGTTCATTATTCATACATGTGTGTATATGAATACTGACGTTTCATGTATTGCACCTGAAGTGTGCAATTTTTGTAAATAAAGAACGTGTAGTGCAATGTTACCTAAAAGAGCACCCAAAGTAGATGCCACGGAGGCCTCTACACGAATTCCCCACAGTCTGGCACTTGACATACTACAAGTTGGTGTAATTCAGCTATCACTTTAAACAGAAAACAAATGCTAAGAAAAAATTAGCATTTAAAAAAAAATTAAATAAAATGTTTTCTTTTAATGTGTTGAATCTAGGGCAATCCTTATTGACAGAAATGGTGACTAGAAAGACAGAAACTTGAGCATCAAACATTGTCCTTCTACAAATTAAAAGATTATCATTCTAGAAAAAATATTCACTCTTTTCTTTGATACGAAAATATAGGGAAAATGTCATCGAGTAAGAAGGTCAAGGTTTAAAACATAGTGAAAAGAAATTAAAGTTATTTGGTAGTGGCTGTGCAATAAACTGTCACATTCATTTGCAAACAGCATAACCTATCACGTTTTTCACTGAAATGTGAGAAATGCCAAGAGAAAAATTCCATCAGCCGTAAGTGTTATGAATTCAAAGTAACAATAACAGCATCTTCCAACAAGTAAAACTCAGAGAGTCAAAGTACAGAAGTGGTAAACTCTGAATTTTAGTGTTTTTATTTTAAGAAACCATTATTGTAACTGAGAAATATCAAATTTTCTTAACACCTGCTGCCAACTCTACCAAGCACAAGAAAAATCCTCAGAACCAGCTTTTCTATACCAACCAATAGATGGCACTCAAACTCAAGATATCCTTTGACAAGTTATTGTAACCAACCTTTGCCAGTGACAGTCAGCAATCTTCTACCGAAAAAAAATATATAACTTGCAGCTACCATAATTTCATTCATTATAAAATGAAATTCTCACCACCATTATAATTCATTGAAATTCAACAACCTAAAAAAAATTAACAAAAAAATATCTCAAGATGTAGTTTGCATACTATGTGCCGTCATTATATATTTCTCTCTACATATCTACGTTTGTAATATTTGTATGCACTTCTGGGCAATAACAACATATTTAATATAATAATAATAATAGTGCTATGGTCAGCTTCTAGGCTGACCAAAAGTTGGACATAACTGACCACAAGACAAATTGAATAGTACAAGTGTTCAATGCACTACTGACAATATTAATCAAGTTTCGATACATTTCTTTCAATGATAATATACACATAATAATTTGTAGTAGCCACTTACAGAAAAATCCTTTATACTTTGTGTACAATAATTTGTAGCCAGTTACAAAAATTTACTTCATACTTAGATCATAGATCATATGGTGTGCATTGACTTATACATAACTGTGTATTACTTCTTTGTACAGATAAAATATACAAATATAATATCTATTCTTCAAACGTTATGTGTTCTAATTTACACATGCAGTAATAACAATAGTTGCTGTATCTTATAATACTCATAATATTAATAACAATAATAGATCTACTCTGGAAAAAGAGGCTGCTATGAAAAATGCAAAGGATGCTGCTGCTGTTAGTAAAATGTCCCATTTACTCCTTCAATACAAATCTGTCTTTTCAGCCTCTTCATTATTTCAGAGTACTGGCAAGGATTTCTCCATATAGTTACAGGTAACTTGAAAGGGGGGGGGGGGGGGTAAAATCAATTTCCACAGCTTAATTGTGATCATGTCATTTTGCTTGGCCAATTAAAATGATTCTACCAAAATTTACTTCCAGAAAGTTAAAATTTGAAAATCTGACCGTCTTCCAAAAGACCCAGAAGATGACCTCAATCCACCCTTGCATCTATAAAGGGTCTCAAAAATTTAGAGCATTATTTGAGAGAGAGAGAGAGAGAGAGAGAGAGAGAGAGAGAGAGAGAGAGAGTCATTTTAAGTACTCTAAAACTGAAGGGTTTTTAAAAGACATTATTCCACAGACCTCAGACATACCACAACACAATCACCTTTGGATCACTCAAGCTCTCACAATACATATATACTGCAAAGCAAACCTGTTTTCAACCAAACCACTTGCACTTTTTCTCAATTCATCCCTAATTATGCATCTCATAAAAAGAAAAGACAAAATGTTCTACATCAAAATGCTACTGGTGGCTGAATTGATAAAATGGCAATATTGGCAATACATAAAAAATGCAGATAAATTTCCCTTCTCGACTTGTCCCAGAATTCTAAAACAGGAACTAACATCTCAATTTTCTCTTCAAAATCTGTTTACAAAAGTGAAACTGATTGAAATCTTCAACGTTGTAGAAAATACAATTAAATTGTGAAATCTGACAATGTACAGCAGGGGGCTCTGGTTAATTCAAGACCAAGTCTGACCCAGTCTGCAGTTATACAAATGAATGGTTAAATAAACCATTTATCCATGGAACAGTGGAGTATCTAAGTTACAGCAGGTGCCCTGGGCTTAACCTGAAGGGGGCGCCACTTGAAGGCACTGCCACCAGTAGGTGGTGCCACTTGAAGGAGGGGCCACCTCTTGGGGGGGACTTTGGGAACAGAGTCCACTGGGTCTTTTTAGACCAATCTTTGTATTTGTTAAAGCAAGGAAGGGGCAATTATAATTCATATTTAGTTTTATAATTTTTGAAACAAAAAAAGATAAAAAAAAATGACTTGCATTTTTGAGCCGATTTTTCTGTTGAAGTTATCTAAAATATGGATGTCAAATGTTGCTGACCAGTTCTTGCCACTGTTTCCTTAGATACAGCCCTGACATGGACAGAGATCAAGGTTCCTATGGCACAATGATAGCAAATATGTCCCACCTTTAAAATTCTGAAACATTGGGCACAGTAGTTGCTACCATAGAATACCAATGAACTATACAATTTAAGGAAAAGAAAGAATTTGACTGGAATCCGTCTTGTCTGTTTCTACAGTTTTTCTTGTGGAGAAGACCACGATATTATTTAAAAATCTACAAAAAATTTGACAACTTATTATCTTAACTAGCTCCTTCTCTTAACTGTCCTATATGGTCCACATATCATTCTCACATCGTTATTTAGAATGTCAAAGGTGGAATTTTCCTCCAAATTCTTCAATAACAGTGGCAAGCAATGTTTTTGCCAATAAAAATAGAAATTAAATACTAAATATCAATGTCACATTGCTCAAAGTTTCGATGTCCGTATGGGTTAACAAACATACATTATATTACAAATGCTCTACGAAAGCATCCCAAGACTATATAAAAATACTGGTCAAGATGATAACATCGGTTACTATATGACTACACAATGTTGTAGTCAATAATATTATCATACACACAGCACCGTTTGACACTTGTTCCAAGCCATAGGCTACTAGCGCCCCCTATGGTTATGTATCTGAGAGAGACACTGGCACAGCCATGTACAACCCTCAATGGATGAAAAAATTCTCAAAAACAATTAATTCTTATAAAATCTTTCTGCAGGTAGTAAGTCCTTTACTCTATCCTTCATCCTTGAAATCCTGCGAAAAAAATTATTTCGATAGGAATGACTGTAAAACTGGAAAAAGCCTTCCCGGGTCAACCGACTGCAGCTGAAAGGGGAGGAATCCTTCATACGCAGTGACATCTGGTGTCTTTTCGCCCAGCAGCTGGTAATCCTTCTAGCTTCTCTTGACAGCAATGACATCTGGTGTCTGAAATTATGCCTCTGATGGTGGTACAAGCTTTGATTTGCAAGGGATGTCAGCCAGTTATACAAAATCAGCTGCTCATCATTGAAGACACCATTCTTGATGACAATGACATTTTAGAGTCTCAAATCCTCAAATCCTGTTTTACAATCTCCTCTTGCCAACCATGCCCCCTACCATCTAAACAAAACGACTCTTCTGTCAATTCTTCAAGTGCTCCCAAATCTTTTCATTCTGCCTCCATCTACTTTGTGCCAGCACAAGTACTACATGTACGTGCAATGGGTAAAAGGCATCCTTTGCACAAGTGAAAATACAATTTAAATTTCGTCCCCCAAATGTGCACTTATTGGCCTCAAGATTCCTCCATGGGTTCAGACTCTGTCGATGACATTGAGGAGAGTCCACCACTTCTGAAAAAATGAAGGAAAAAAGTGACAATGGTTCTAAGTTATAACTAATGCAAAAAAAAAAAAAAAAATCACTTTTGTCTGCTTTCACCTCTTAACTGTTTGATATGTAACTCAAAAATCTCAAAATTCTGTCACCTGGGCTTGAACCATGAACAGTCTTTCTAAACAAAGTAAAACAAAGATGGATACAGATTAAGGCTAATATTCAAAGACAAAGCTATTTATTGTATTTCAATCCTCCAAATACAAAAATGAAAAGTGAAAGGTTAAGATTATGCCTGGGTCAAGGTCAACTGATCAAGGTCAAGGTTACACATGTTCTTACCTTCTGGCAGTGACCATGGACAGAGAGGCTAGAGCGGAGACGGTGTCGTTCTCTTCTCTTTCTCGTTGCTCTCTCCTCTGAGCCTCCATCATGGACATTGTGATGCTGTCCGCATATTTGGTGACCACTGGCCAGTAACGAGCTGTAACGGTCAACAGGGGTCACTTTATTGTACAAGAACATATTCAGACTTAGTCAAAACTTATCACTCGTGAAATATTTTGACAAACTTAGTACAAACTTATGACATTTCAGTTGAAATATTTCACATGAGTGATAATGTTTTACTAAGTTTGTGATTAAAGGGCTATTGATCTTCATCATATACTAAACTGATAAATCGTAAATATATTAGGCTACAAAGATATCGCTTCTTTTGCCAAATGCTACAACAGTATTACATGCTACAATTAAATTCACTCCCTTTAATAAGATATCATAATATCACAGTGTTTGATATGATAGAGTCCAAAATGAGCTGCCACAACCCAGCATGAAATGCAGCCATCGTATTGGCTTTTTCTCTCTCCAAAAAACAAGGAATTTTTACACCTAAAAATACACCCACCTTGATAACTGATTGCAGCTTGTACGGTCTTTATTGCAGCTTCACAGGGCTTCCTATTGGTCTCCTCTTCGCTGAGAGGTCTCACCTGGAGGACAAAATTGGTACTAACGGATAAAATACATCTTTGAAGGACTTCAACAAACTGTGCAACTCGACATAATATTGCCCTTCTCTATCATATTTACCATCACCTTCTCACATCAAGCATGTAACTGAGAGATTTGAGTGTGAATAACATTCAGATGCAAACATACATGCACACACACACAAAACACACATGCACTCACCTGCATGGACAAATACATAATCGTTGAAAAATTTTAGTGTGACTCACATTATCTGTTAACACACACACACAACAGATGCATGTGCACACACACACACACACACACACACACACACACACACACACACACTAACCTCGTCTCCCAGCAAGGCCTTTACACAGATCTCAGAAGCATCACATATCGCAGGCAGGTCGTAGCCTCCTTCAAGAACTAAGACAACTTTGCCGCCCGCCAGGGTCATGAGCTGCTTGGTCATGTGACCAAAACCTGAAAAATTATTGAAAAATTCATTCTTCTTTTTACTTATCATAAATTGAAGAATATTTGAAGTGGAAAAGGCAAAAGAGGGAAAATTAGAAAGCGCAACTGTAAATTCAAAATTGTAGAATTTTTTCAGAGATACCATTTTTAAGTTGAGCCGTCTCAGCTTTACTAGACATCAGTAATCAACTTACATGCTCCAGACAACTCATATCCACCCAGAGGAGCAGGGTGACCCTTGGCAGCATCAAACCCCGCAGACACCAACACAAGCTCTGGGTTGAATTCCCGAGCAATTGGCATCACTACTGTCCTGCAATGTGAAAAGGTATGTGTTTGGTTAAAATTGTTATAAATATGAGAAAGTAACAGGTGATTGGCTATGAATATTGTTACCTTATCAAGCACTTAAACAATATAATTCCGAACTTTCCACAGTGAAGTGTAAAACCCTGTGGATACTGCAGACATCGATCCAGCTGTGAACAAGTCAAGTCATCAGAAGAACAAACTGAAACTATGTTTTCTTTGAAATAAAATAAATCTGTCCACTGAACAATTCTATTTTCTATTGGGAAGAGCTGTACTAGAATTCTTGTAGGAAAGTTATGTGACATAGGACTAACCTGAATGCCATCATATAATCAGCATCTCTCATTGGAGGATCTAAACTGCCCGTGAAAGCGACATTGACGGTGTAACCAAGGCCTTCCTTCTCGCCACATTCGTCCAGAGCACCAGTGCCAGGAAAGAAATTCCCATCGTCATGGCGATGAAGGCTGATGTACATGACACTGGGATCGTTGTAGAAAACCTGCTGTGTGCCATTGCCATGGTGAACGTCCTACGAAAAATATAAATAACATTAATTTCAATTCTGTTGTTATTACATTTTATTAATTCATTTAAAAAAAAAATTTTTTTTCATTTGCATGGCGGTTACCATTAAAACAAACCCAGGTAAATATTACGGCATTAAATTCTGTCATGTCAAAACATAAACACTATCAATTAAGAAGATACTGTCATCCTATCTTGCTGAGTAAAATAAGAAATATTGCAGATTGTAGTGGAAAAAAATGCATAGAGGACTGAGCTTTTTATGGTCTCAAAGATAAAATGCTGCTTCATCTGAACAGGTCATGCAAAAACGCAATTTACTACTCACCCAGTCAACTATCAGAATTCTACGGAGATTCAACTTTTCCCTCAGCTGCTTAGCAGCCACTGCCACCGAATTGAAGAAACAGAAACCCCTGAAAAGAGAAACCATTGTAAACCATCACCAATAAGAATTTTTTTCCTTAAAATCATCACCTTCATCACATTACATTACACATCATATACTGAGCTCTTATTAACCTGAATGAACCTCATACTTCAATGGACTATTTGCAGACTCCATTGCCTTCATACTCACATGGGTTGTTGGTGTTCTGCGTGATGACCTGGGGGTCGCACTATGGCCATGCCATTCTGTAATATATGACACAGTCGATTACAATCAAGATTAACCCTCATTCAGTCTGTGTAGTCAAAACTACATGAAAGACACTGGAATTTTTCCAATATCTACTGAGAAGCTCTACATGTCAAATCCTTTTTTTTTTTTAAATTTTTTATCAGAATGGAATTTATTCCTCTCACTTTCCCATACCTTCAGTTCCCCAGCTGCAACTTTCATCGATGTTTCAATGGCACATCCAGTGGCCATTCTCGCTGCATAAGACGTATGCAGCTCATTCCACACAGTATCGGAGTCCACACCAATCCCGCCACATGGTAACATACAGAACCTAGTGGGTAAAGTCTCCAGTATCTGAGGATCCAGTTTTTGTCGATGTAAGGGGTTTGTCCCGTAGATCAATGTGTATACTTCGCTGTGGCATGACTGGAGTTCCTCGCGGCTTGCCTTTCTGGCTTTCACTTTCTGAAATTTTAAGATGTTTTCAATGAGTTTTTTTCTTTTTCTTTTAGATTTTACACCTACTGATTAATATTGCAATATATAGAATTATCTTTTCTTTAATATCTTCCAGTGCATTTTGTACAATTTAATTTAACAAATTACAATATAATAAAATCAATACTTAAAACCATATTCTTTATGCAATTTTGATTCCTAAAAATTTGAATTAACTAACAGAAAAACATTAAAGCCTTAGATACACTAAACCAGTGTTTGCCTCTTAGAAAAATAAGTTGCTGGACCGAAAGTCCAGCCATCTTGAAAAGTAGCTGGACTGAATGTCTGCCAGGTGGGAAAACTTATCAGCCCATACTAAAAGTTGTCAGCCCCAGGCAGACGGTCCAGCCTTAATTTCTAACACTGACTAAATGATAAATCATACTTAAACAAAATCAAGAAAATTTTTGACAGATATGCAGCACATTAAGATGTCATTGACAACACAGTTATTTTTTCATTGACAACACAGCCATTTTTATCAATCTTTACTGACACAACACTGAGACTCGACAAATTATTTTACAGATATTCGACAAATCACGATGGATTTTATCATTACTCCTCACCTCACATCGCGCAGCAAGCCCTGCTTCCTGAAGTCGCGCCCAGATACTTTGTATCCTTCCTGCGTGCTCTGGATGGTTCTGGTTGTTTCCACATGTACATTGGTGCTTTAACATCATGGTGTCATAGGCTATTCCTGGTGGAGAGAAATATAAATGCATAAAAATCAAGGACTGGGAATGGTGTCATACACCCCATTTCCATAGATTTTTAGATCGATCTATCCCTGTGGGGAGTCTCACTAGATTACTGTCAGCTTTGCCGGCTTAAGCGTCTGTCCCGCCTACTAAAAGCTGTAAGGGGGTAATTAACTATGGTGCCCGCTCAGCTGACTGCAATTTAGCGTGAACCCACAGGGAGTTAGGTTGATCTAAAACTTAATCTTTAGATCAATCTAAATCTCTGGGAAAGCACCCATAGACTATACCTTGAGAACATATACAAATGCATATAAATAAAGGAATGGGGATGAAGCCATAGGTTTTTACTGGAGAAAAGAAATACAAATGCGTATAAATTAAGGATTGGCGGAAAAAAATAGAAGTGTACAAAGCTCCTTACAGATTCTGGTTCCAGTTCCAGCAATCAAGATAGATACAGATGACAATATGTATATAAGTAAATTGTTTGTAAGAAAATAACTTCTTGCTAAAAGATGACTTCACTCATTAAAAGATGAAACATTAAAATTAAATAAAAATGCCTGTTTTCTCGCATGCATGCATTAATGCATGCACTTGTGCATGTGGCATGTAGCTGTCTCAGTGCAGGAGCAAACACTTTAATATTTGGCCTCTTCTCTCTCTCTCTCTTATGTATGTGTGCCCATGTGTCTCAGCACAGGTGTGTAAACCTATCTGTTCACCTGCGACCTTACCTGTAGTGAATCTAAGCGGCAAAGGTTCCTGCTGTTCAGGTGCATTTGATGGCCTTGGGAAATTAAACGTAACCAGTGGACTGGACTGGGTCCTGGAGAGTGGACGATGCGGAGGACGCCGCGCTGGCACGTTTATTGGTATTAGCGGAGCATGGACAGACGACGTCCCTGACACAGCAGGCGCGTGTGCAGGATGCAACCGCAAAATATCGCGTTGTTCAGAAAGGAATGCTTTTCGATCAGTTTGTGGATGATGGTGATGTTGTTCAAGCTCTCTCCGTATCGTTGCCTCCGATTCGTCCTTATCAATTACGACTATGTCGTCGGCTTCCTCTTGGAGTTTTTCACGTGATTCTTTCATTTCCTGTGCGAGTTTGGCCTCGGTTTCCTCGTCCACGTTTTCCATGTGGTTCTTGCTGCCAGCTCGTTGTAACACTTGCTGACGGATATGCTGGAATAAACATATCAGCCAATGACTAATCATTACCTTCAGGACAATGTTCAGTCACCTTTAGAATTTATTTTCTTTCTATTTAGTGAATAAATTAGATATTTCACCATGTGTGTCTATAACTTTCAGAGAGTATGATTTTTTTCATGACCACCCACCTGTTTGAGATTGTAAGACTGTATTTTTTCATGACCACCCACCTGTTTGAGATTGTAAAACTGGTTTTCTTTCATGACCACTCACCTGTTTGAGATTGTAAGACTGGTTTTCTTTCATGAACTGTTCATGTTGGTGCTGGAGTAACATTCCATGCTGGGGGCCCAGCATAGGCTGCCCCAGGGGGAGGGGGGCGGACTGGGTCCTGCCCAGGGGACGGTGTCTGGAACAGATTAAATCTAGTGAATTTCTAGATGTCTAATGTATCAATAGATTATTTTTTATCTCTCTTTTTTCTTTTTTTTTTAATAGTTAAAAGCAAAACGGATAAACAACACTTATTTGTAGTCAGCAGACTTACATGGAACAGTCTGTTTTTAATGTCACAAATAGGGTTGCACATTAAAAAAAAATTCCTATAAAAATAGCCTGCTCAACCTTTCAGGCAGATTTCTTGCCAGTCTAAAGTCAATTACCTGTGCAAACGAGCGTGTGCAACTTGAGAGTCTGTGATGGTGCCTGTCTTGGGTACTACATAGGGGGCGCCAGCAGCAGGGTGCGTGGCCAGTTTTCCCGTGCTGCGCATCTGCTCCAACACCTTCATCTGAGTACTGATGTATGCTGGGTTGCTCGCTGTTGATTCTGGGTCAACACCTAGAACGAGGTAAATCTGGGCTATAATTTCATAGGTCAATATTCTTGGAAATGTAGTTTTATTGAGATTGAGAAATGAGAATTAAGGCTTATATGAAAAGTGTGTTTGATGTACTTTTTTTTTTCATATATTCTGGACATTTTGAAAAAAATTTCCCCTTGTTTTCAATTAATATTAAATAGAAACACTAAACAACAGACCAATAAAACTTAAATTCAAAACATTTGGTGAGCAATTTGTTCTACTACATTAATTTTGTTCAAATTTTGTGAAGATTAACCACACAAACCACAACTTCTGAATGGTCAGAATAATATTCAACATTTTTGTGCAAAAAATTGATCTATTTAGTCATTATTTATTAATTTATTTATCTATTATTTATTAATATATTTGTTTGTTTATTTATTTACTATTACTATTATTACTATTTATCTATTTACTTTTTTTTTTTTTTGCACTTTATGAAGAATCCCCATACATACCCATGACTCCTGGATGGTAATAGGGATATGCACCAGGGAGATAATGGCCGGTTAAAGGCAGACCCAGCCTGGCAGCTGCCATAGCCCGCATTTCTGCCTCTGACTGTGGGGAATTGTTGTTGGTGCCCTGCTGAAAAAAAAAAGAATAACATATATTGTTTAATGTGTTAAGTTTTACCTTTTATTTTCTCTGAATATGCATATTTGAAAGATTTAGCCTTCAGCTGCCATTGTAACTTTAATCACAACGAGAAAGAGGAAAAGATAAAAGAAAATGCAGATTTCTAATAACTATAAGTAACATTGTTGGTGTTAAGGGAAGTGATTGTGGTACTTGCACCATGTTGACAATTTAAAACATTTCAGTTGTTAAGCTTTGTTGTACAGAATCTTTCCAGAGAAAAGGAGAAATCACAAATTTGAAATAGTAGTAATAAAAACCAGGGGTGGATTGAGGTCGCCTTCTGGGTCTTCTGGAAGACAGTCAAATATTCAAGTTAACACTGATGGGTATCTAATTTTTCCTGTCTAAAGACTGTCAAAAATGGAGGATGGTCAACAAATATAATATGAAAGACTGTCAGAAAATATCCCTGGATCCATCCCTGAAACATCCCTCCCTTCCTTGTCTCCTTCCTTTTTATAAATCCAGATCTCCTTATGTAATAATAATACCATTACTTACAGCATTAGGGGATGCCTGTGGGGGTCTCCCTAGGGATATATTGGGCATGGAGGGCGAGGCATACAGGGTCAGGTCACTGTAGCTCCCATGGGCCATCATATTTTTCAACTGCTGCAAGGGGAGTTCTGCTGGGCTGGAACCCTGGTGGAAAAAAAGAAACAAATACTTATAATCTTTCTTTGCTTAAACACAAATATTATACTTTTTAAAACCCTTAATAGAATGTGTTGAGCAAAAACTAGAAAATACAACTTAATGCACAAGAGCAATTATTTTACTCTTTCTTTTCTTTTCTTTCTTTCTTTTCTTTCCTTCTTTTTTTAAATAAAAAAATGTAGAAAACCCAAGTCAATGAAAATAACTGACTTCTTTTACTGGCAGGAAGCATTTTTTCTTTTTTTTTTTTTTTTTTTCTATAGCTAACCAACCTAATAAGAAGCTATCAATTCATCACTTCACTTTGCTACTTGATCTTACTCGGATAGAACATCAGACCATTTTAGTTTCCCTACTTCTACGAGTCAAAAAAAAAAAAAAAAAAAAAAACTCAAACTGCGTGCATTATATTATTCCCCAAGTGCAACTGGATAAAAATAAAACAAAAAACTCTGCAGGACAATGAAATGAATTACCAATAATTCAAAACTTGCGTCATTGAACCCAATTTGCTAAATCTAATTTGGACTCTATTAGCAAGGTACAATAAAGAGACAGCGCAAACTCAATTTACTTCTGATTAGGTCTAGGGATGTGCATCAATGTACACTCAGCTGTCTAACATTTGATATAAAAAGACTGAAATAAATAAATAAACTGAAAGAAGAGGAGAGAAAAAACGCACCACAATTTCCATTAACAAATGAAACTGCCTGAAAAAACATCACCGGCGCTATTCTGGGACCAGGCTTGTCAATAAACGGGAATACTGCCATTCATTTTCCAGGCGATTGGAGATACTTTTAAATCGAATCAGAAAGGGGATACAAACCCAGCACAGAGCTGCATCTGTGCCATTTAAAAATACTCCCAAGACTTAATCAAACACCCGACCAACATGCCCTATCGGAATTTGCTTCTTTCACCTTGTAAATGTCAAGCTGAGGTAGCTTGATCTATCTGTACTGTGCATGCAGCCTGGTCTGAGGAGGCTATTTCTGGACTTGGACAGAAATATGTTCAATGAAGGCTTGGGCCTGATGCCCATGTCTGTCCCAAGTTTAAGGCCAATTTTTAAGGCATTTTTGATGATCACTCTGTGCTTTAGTAAGGCACATTTGTGCTAGTTACATATCTCTTGTTAAAAGCTAATGTTTTCTTTCATTTGGCTAAGGAAAATGAATTACATTATCTATAAAAAATTACAAGCCACTTGATTGTTTTATCTCAAAACAATGATTTGTCTCAATTTTTCCAGATAATTTGACAGAAGCAAAACTTGCACTTGAGAGTATTCATATTAAACAAAGGTGAAGACTCATTTTAGGATATTAAGAGTTTTGCTTTTAATGCCAATTTCACAAATGACTTTTTCAGACTACCTCTAACTTGAACGTTTTAGTCTCCCAGTTGTTTGTTAACTAGCTTATTAATAACCAACAGCATGAAGGTGATTTTAGGGCAAGCTCATATATAAACTAATATTTTAAAACTCTTTTAACCCAGCAAGTTTACAAAACAACCAATAGGAATAAAATTTAGAAATAAGATTATGAAAACAATAAAAAAAAAAAACAAAAAAAAAACAAAGAATATTTTGGCAACAATAATGTTTTGGTAATAATCTACACAAACAATTCTGACATTTAACAGTCAACAACAATACCCAAGAGACATATCCACAAGCTATAAAAAATCTGATAAATATTGAGTTTCAGGCCAATGTCTATTGGAGGTAAACCAATCTGGGGATCTCCAAGTAGTTTTTGTAAAGGTTGTTTCATGTGTAATTTGAGGAAATGGAAGTTTAATAATCTCTGGAGAAGCTCAGTAAAATGTCAGGACTGATTACTATTTAAATATAGCAAACTGTTCCATGGATTCCATTTGATACTTTCATATGTGAAGATTAGTAGTTTTTTTTTTCGTTTCTTTTTTTATCCCTGTGAAGCATTTTGGTTGCTAATGACAGTTTCTATCTTATAGAAGGTTTATAAATATCTACCAATTTCATTTCTGTAGCTAATCATTGGTTTTATCTCCGTGTAGGTTAAAAATATCTTCTTTTTTTATCTTTCTACTTATAAATCTAATTCTAATGGATGCTTATCCACTCACACATTAATCTAATAATAATAATAATAACAATAACCTCTTTAATATACATTTGCATTTATTTCTTTAAAAATTTTCATTCACCTACACCTAAAGAAACCTTTAAGTGTACTTATGCACCTAATAGAAAAAAAGACCTGCTAGTGAATATGAGATAATTTGAAAAATTAAGCTCTGCTAAGTGCAAATTCCAAACGGGTCCATGAGCTAGAGGAAACCACCATGCTCCGTCATCTCACTTCACTCAGGATTTCATATTTCTAGGAAATCACAATACCGTAGTCCACCAGAAATTCCTGAGAGGTCATGTTGCTCCCTGACAATCATGGAATAAGACTGAAATGTTGCACTTTATTTCATACCACATATTTCTGGGAAATAACCATACAGAAACCTTATCAGTCACAAAATCTCCAGAGCTTGCAACTTCCTTTTTAATGTTACATATAGACTTACCTGGAACCATATATTCCAAGAATGTTAATTATTTTTGCTCATCCCCCATTAGTTCCAAGATGTATGACCATTCTTCGATCATAAAAATATGACATGATTTCAGCGTAAAATTACTCTGGATCATTTCCAAACATTTTCCCATCTGCCACAAATTTCTCAGATTTCCTGTGCTGTCATATGATTCATTAAAGCAACAACTTTATTACGCTAAATGAAATTCTGGTGAATTTTAAATACCATTTGACTTTGAAACAGGCCACACGATCTTTAACTATCAAAAATTATATGTCAGTGCAAACCTACCCTCCCACCCAAAAAAATTTTTTAATAAATTAAAGTTATAATCTTTCTGTATTGCAGCCTTCAATGAATTTTTGATCCAGTTTCTATCATATCAGGTTACAGCGAAATTCGTCAAATACCTATTAAAAATTCATCAAACAATGATGACTTAAGACTGGCATTCTGATTTATTAGATTTCTAAAAACTGACTTTACAAAGTGAGTCCTTTCAAGAGTGCTGACACAACCTTTACATGTTGATGAAAGACAGAAATGCTTTAGTTTATTATCACAACTACAAGCCCCCTGGTCAGTCGAGAAAACTTATCCGAGCTAATAACATCCAAACTGTGAACGGGACCAGACACTTCATATTAAAACACCAGGAAAACAACTGAGAACCTAAGTCCAAATTTGACTTAAGACATGATCAGTACAACTTTTATATCTTGTTGACTGCAAACCTTACATGACATTATATTACTAAAACATTGCAACAACAGCAGTGCGCTGGTTCAAACTGAACACCAGATACTATCATTATAATTATCTTTCATCTTTGACCAGCAAAACTTACAAGACATCGCATCATAACAACCCTGGGATAAACGCCGAGAGACAGTCCAAATTTGATGTAAGATAATAATCAGCATGATCTTTCCATCATGTTAACACCTTTAGGCTGTGTTTTACCACTATCTAGTCCTTTTCACACATGTGCAACAACCACTGAAGATGCCAGCCTCTGACCCACCTTTCAATTACAGTAATAACTCGATCTTTTCAATGGGGGAAAACTGTAAATTACAGATTCTGTACTTTTTAGTCACAATTTTTTTTAATTAAAACATTCCTACTGAGTGATAGCAACAAAATTTAAAAAGCAGCCTATTCTCTAACTCTGTTCTATACAGTACAGGCACCACAAAAAATATAAAATGAATTTTTTTTTTCAATTATAAAATAGAATATCTGAAAGTTTGACAATTCCGACACATTGAAAAGATTACGTCATTACCATAGCTTTTTGAGGTTAACAAAATACAATCACCAGATGAGTGTTAATTAAGCCACAGGGGTGAACAGCTCACACTGGCTTTCATGGGTACATTTATATCAGCAGGTACATTTACGTTGCCTGACATTTATTGGTTCGAATATCAAACCCAGTACGTTATACCTTGTAACATTAAAGTAACTGTATTCTTAGTTCACGCCTTTCAGGTTGACTATTAACAGCAGTCTTAGAAATATCCTGTTTTTTTTTTTTCTTTGCTATGGCCATTTTGTCTCAAATGTTCCATGACGCCTATATCACTTCATATTCAACAAGTTTGAAGTGAGAAAATCGGCGACCTTGGATAAAAGAATCGGTGGTTATTTTCAACAACCCGAGGAAAAAATGACAGGAAAGTCCATTCATCTTAGCAATTTTCACAGATATTTCCTCATTACCCCTTGATTTATTATCACAGGAAGGTATGCATCCATCAAATGTACCAGTTAGTACCATTTAAGCATCTTCTATAGATCTATAAATCTTTCAGGTTTACTTGCGTATACTTAGAACCTTGATATTCTTCATTTGCTTATTATTATATTCATGTCGTTATGTATTCATTCTTCAATTTTTTTGTAACAGAATCGTCATTACCTTGTAACTGTATCATATATGTTCAAACCCGTGTTAAAATCTGCTTGAAGTATGTTATTCCAAGTAGAAATAACACTGGGTTCATCTTTTTCAGATTTTGCCTGTTATTTCCATTAAAGTTATGATAAATCAGGAGCGCACTGAACCTAATCACTTTTCATCAGTGTCACCTTTTTCCCCCTTTTCCAAAACAACCTCAAACACACCCAGATTCCTGTGAATGCAAATACCTGGCATATCTTTATCATCACCATCAACGTCTCCCTCACCTTACAAGGACAGACAGAAGTGTAGAGGGCAGCACTTGACCCTTTCCCTCCCTAAGGTGAGGGCAATGAAGTTCAATAACATTATATAAAAAAAGGAAAAAAAAAAGAAATAACCATAGGCAAAATTCTGTCGACAAAAAAAAAAAATGGTATAACATTTTGAAAACTATTAGGTTTCATCTGGGGTTCAACGAGCAAGCTGACTTTTTGGAAAACGAGGAAATTAACTGCACTTTGAATTGATATTGCTTGATAAAAATGTGCATATGCGGTTTCTTTAAAATATAAGCTTTTAATGTAAGTCTGGCTACTCCGGAATACCCAGGCATCAAACTGGGGGAAAGAGCCCTTCATTTATGAAGAGTAACAAATATTTGAACAATTGGAGCTTTAAGAGAATAGAAAAGAAGGCATTGTTCCCCTTCTCATAACAGCTACCCCAAAATTGGTACCTACACAGTACACCAGTATAAAAAAAAAATAAAAATAAAAAAATGGGAAAGGAGAGAGGAGAGAAAAACCATGCTGAAGTTACTTTTGAAATACAAAGCAGCTGGTACTTTCCCTGCGGAAGGACAGCATGATCCTGAGACCTGATAGTCTGGATGACTGGTGCTATATTTTGGCCAAATTGCTCAAAATGTGGAAAAAGCATGAAACTTGGCACAATTGTTCTTTGGTCTATGCTGATCATTTTCAAGGGCAGTGCCCAAAATTTCCAAGCGTTGCTTAGCAACCGTTGCTATGGAAGTGAATTTCCTTAGTAACAAGCTAATTAGACCTTTCTTGTCCAGTTTAAAAAGTTTATAAATGCTAATAACTATGTTTCAGGGCATCAGAACTATCACTAGACTATTTTNACTTTGAAATTTTGGGCACTGCCCTTGAAAATGATCAGCACAGTCCAAAGAACATTTGTGCCAAGTTTCATGCTTTTTCCACCTTTTGAGCAATTTTTGCACCAGTCATCTAGACTATGACATCAAATGAGGTGGGAAACTACTCCTCTTTGTGCTCATTTGAGAGAGAGAGAGAGAGAGAGAGAGGGAGAGTGGGGGGGGGGGGAGAGACAAATGAAGGGAGAGGTATGAAAAACAGGGCAAATAAGCAAAATATATAAATAAATAAAAATGTCACATCACACAATTTTCTTAAAACTTCAATCTTATGGCTTAAAATAACTGTAAATAATTATGCAAGAGTGAGAGGACAAGGATTCTCACGTTTCAATTAATAAACAAACACAACCAACACTAAGGATTAGATGTAAATGCCTGGTCAATGGGTTGAGTCAAAATAATTCACTTCTGCAAGTCTAAAACAAATCTATCTCCATCATATCCTTTATTTGTGGGCCAAAATATTTCCAAAATCAATAACGAGTGTTTCAAAAAAGTAATGTAATCAATGATTTGCCATTTAGATCAAGATACAGCACTCGCAACTAAATTGATCTTTAACTTTCTAAAATTGACAGGATCCATTTACAACCATCCTCAATTAGAAACTAAAATAGAATGCTGTTGCCGGAATCAATCTCAATTTTTGTAACTTCATTCAGGCCAACTTCCAATTGGCTTTATTTAGAAAGTCCAAAATGACAAAATCATTTAAATGCTTGTCATGTTTCTAAATCTGCACCCGTCTGTTTGTGATTTCCCTTCCATAAGACTGTATTGCATGGCAGAAATCAGCAACATCTAAATAGACTCCGTACTTTCTAAATTTGTTCGAGTTAATGTGCCAATACAATGTTCCACTACAATCAATTTAAAAGTTCAATGCAACACTTAACCTCTTAAACAATCACCAGCTTTCTAAATGGGTCTATTTTTATACATACCCATCTATTTTTAAGCATAATCAATGAAAAGATAAGAATGGAACAAGTACGAAGTTCTTGACAGATCATTATTTTTATTATCAAATTTGACAGGACACTATCTTAAATAAATTGCAACTTTCTAAAAATACAACTCCTATGATTAATGAATTTTCATTAGAAAGCTGACAGGGCATTCAGTATTGTACTTTACTTGTCCTCACTTTCCTAATGTATCAAATGCCCTTATTTTTTCTGTCTGATCTTATAAGTACAGTTATTCAAATTTGGAATGAGGAAAAACACAGATATGCAAAACCAATTAAAACAATCAATATCTCGAGTGATTACAGTAACTACAACAGAAAAGGCGATGCAACTGTCCCTGTAAGTTTCATAAGAACTGGAAAGATCCCCCCCCCCCCCCAAAAAAAAAAAAAAATAATAATAATAATAACCTTTGGCTCAGGAAAAAAAAAAAAACAAATTGGGGAAAAACAACCACCAAAGCCTTATTATTCATATAAATAGCTTGATGGCATCTCGCATTAGCCAGTGCAATTTCTTCACTTCCCGAAGAGATTACATTTAGATTAAATGAGCATCAAGGTGTCTATTTTTAGATCCATTTGCCGAGAAATCTTTGAATTATTTACAAGCCTAGCTCAACTCCCGGTAAACACAAGAGGCCTGTTTGGAGTATTCCAAGAAATCAATTCATGCTCTGAGGGCCCTGAAGACTTTTTCTCTATACTCCAGGTTATGGGTTAATAAGTAAATAGTTTTTGCTGTTGTACTTTTAAACTCAATGCTTTCTTCTATCAAGGAAGTTTTGTAATTCAAGAAAAAAGCAGCTTTGTTTTCCGATTTCCCCATCAATGGACAAACCAAATTCATTTTTAAATAACGATTAAAATAATGGAAGGGCAGGAGGGGCTGCTTGGTCCTAATCTTACCTCTCTGGTATGTAAGGAAGTCAGGCTGCCATTACTGGACTGTAGCATTGTGTTACTAGGGGGAGAGTTTGGTCCTGAATCTGGCGTGCTTCCGCTGGACATTCCAGTGTCAACTGAAACAGCAGCATGAAATGAACCTTTTTAATACTACAAAATGAATGTCATAAACTTCTATAAATTTAGCTTAGCTGAATCAGCTTGATTCAGGCGTGGTCCCGAAATAGGACATTATGTGTTTAACTTATTTAGTGCATAACGCATTCCAAAAAAAAATTTATAACTTGTGTCAGATTTACAGAAGGTTGCAAAAAGAAAACCCATATAATGGCCAGTAAACAGCTTATTTGTCAACCCTCGGTAGACAGATGTATTTAAAATAAAGAAAATGGCAGAGAGTCCTCATCACACATATTTCACTGATCATATATCATGCAAACTAGTTCTTGTGATGCAGATGCATTGTAATCTTCGTTATAACTCCAAAAGTTCACAAAGATGAAGTCTACTAGATACTCTTCATTCTTGTCAAAAATTATATAAATCAATTTTTCTTAGGTTTTGGACTAATTCTCATAGTATTTAAACTTGTGAACTCAGGATTCAAACAGTCCCTCACCTCCTAACGGTTTTCTACTTTTTAGTGACAATGGTGTCCGATTTCTCCGCTGTATCAGTGGACTACTCCGCCTCTCGATCACCTTCTGTTTTAACACGGAACGCACCTTTAAATTGGGTTCGGAGGCTGAAATACAGATAACGATAACAGATAAATTGCTATACATGGCATTTTTATGGTAGTAGACTAATGAAAATTTCTCAATCAAAAAGGTAAACTGCTCGCAGCAGAGCTATCAGTATAAGAAAAACAATGATATTTTTGGTTCCCCTTAGTAGTTGGAAATCTGCAGACAGATAGAAAAATCTCATTCCTGTTAATCACACTACTAATAAAATAGTTCCTACCTGTCCTCCGTAATTGGTTTAGTTCATCAAACTGTCCCAGCAAGTGTGGCCGATAGGGCGGAGACAGGCTTGCACTGGGCGGAGAACTCTGATCTAGTGAACTGTGATGAGCCCTGGATGGAAAAGTTTGAGATGGAATTAAATATATCAAAATGACAAGGTATCCTCACAATATGCATTTGAAAAGACTACTATCAAATTAAGTGCTGCCTTAACAAGTTTATCACTTTTACTAAATCATTCATTGGGACAAATGAAACAAACTGCAATGGACCCTGAATCATTATACATATTTTAGATATGAATAAGGTGATTTAAAATTTGGCACCCTTACTGAAAAATTAAAAAGAGCTAAAATTGTTTTTAACTTCAATTTCATATTGTGAGAATATCAATCAATTTTCTGTCAGTCATCTTCACAAGAAAATTTGCATAATGCACTAGCAGCTCAACCATCTACATTATCAGGTCTATTTCAAGGTGACCAAATGAATGGCAATCCAAATCAATCGACCGTAGGAGTGAAAAATACCATTTGTTATGTCACATGTGCCACCAGAGATAAAAACACCAAACAATTTAAATTCACATCACGTGGAATGCATAGCTTTCATGCTTTCATGATCAAATTGTGATAAAGAGACCCCAAATTTGCAAAATCAATCAGTATCTGATCAATTCCAATAGAACCACGTGTCAAGTAGCTGTCAATATCACAGGACAAAATGCAATACCAAACACAATACCAAACGCAATCCTCATTCTAGGCTAAATAGTACAAAATTATCTACGCAATCCTCATTCTAGGCCAAATAGTACAAAATTATCTCCTTATCTCTAACTGACCATACCTAAATTGGCTTTACTAAGGTTTATAGTTCTGATTGAAATCAAACTAGTGCCAGAAGGGTAAACTGATTTTCTTTCAGTGAATTTTTAATAATGGTGTCAGGTGATTGGCTTCGTGCTGTGGGGCCACTGACTTGATTACTGCCAGTCCTGTAAAACAGAACTGCTCATGTGAAAAGAGTGTGAACCCCGTCGCGTTATCTAGGCATGAACGAGATTTGCTCATTATTCTGATATTTTTGGGATTATCAACAGGAGGGATAGGCCAATTGTGAGTGATATGAACCACAAATATAGGTACTTATCAGATAGCTGATAGGCCTACGATGAGAGATTTGGTGACAAAAGCCTTGTGAAAATGTTATTTCACGTGTCAGCCTAAAATATGTCTGCTATTCTGTACATAACTTTGTATGGTGACTCTGCTTCTCATGATTTTTTAACCTTTCTTGCCTTTTTGTATAAATTTGTTATTATTATTTGTCTTGTAGGATTTCATAAAAGACATTANAATTTAGCTTAGCTGAATCAGCTTGATTCAGGCGTGGTCCCGAAATAGGACATTATGTGTTTAACTTATTTAGTGCATAACGCATTCCAAAAAAAAATTTATAACTTGTGTCAGATTTACAGAAGGTTGCAAAAAGAAAACCCATATAATGGCCAGTAAACAGCTTATTTGTCAACCCTCGGTAGACAGATGTATTTAAAATAAAGAAAATGGCAGAGAGTCCTCATCACACATATTTCACTGATCATATATCATGCAAACTAGTTCTTGTGATGCGGATGCATTGTAATCTTCGTTATAACTCCAAAAGTTTACAAAGTTAAAGTCTACTAGATACTCTTCATTCTTGTCAAAAATTATATGAATCAATTTTTCTTAGGTTTTGGACTAATTCTCGTAGTATTTAAACTTGTGAACTCAGGATTCAAACAGTCCCTCACCTCCTAACGGTTTTCTACTTTTTAGTGACAATGGCGTCCGATTTCTCCGCTGTATCAGTGGACTACTCCGCCTCTCGATCACCTTCTGCTTTAACACGGAACGCACCTTTAAATTGGGTTCAGAGGCTGAAATACAGATAACAATAACAGATAAATTGCTATACATAGAATTTTCATGGTAGCAGACTAATAAAATTTTCTCAGTTAAAAGTTTAAACTGCTCGCAGCAGAGCTATCAGTATAAGAAAGACAGTGAAAGCAGTCGCAACCTTTTAAAATTTTTTTTAGAGCTAATTTAGTATCACTTTCTTATTTCAGGAATGAGACCACCGTTTAGTGAAAAAGTTGGAATATATAGCGTGGGGTTCAGGGTTCCACCCAGACCAATGATATTTTTGGTTCCCCTTAGTAGTTGGAAATCTGCAGACAGATAGAAAAATCTCATTCCTGTTAATCACACTACTAATTAAATAGTTCCTACCTGTCCTCCGTAATTGGTTTAGTTCATCAAACTGTCCCAGCAAGTGTGGCCGATAGGGCGGAGACAGGCTTGCACTGGGCGGAGAACTCTGATCTAGTGAACTGTGATGAGCCCTGGATGGAAAAGTTTGAGATGGAATTAAATATATCAAAATGACAAGGTATCCTCACAATATGCATTTGAAAAGAAATGTTATGTATTTGTTACTATCCTACTATCAAATTAAGTGCTGCCTTAACAAGTTCATCATTTTTACTAAATTATTCATTGGGACAAATGAAACAAACTGCAATGGACCCTGAATCATTATAAATGTTTTAGATATGAATAAGGTGATTAAAACTTTGGCACACTTACTGAAAAATTAAAAAGAGCTAAAATTATTTTTAACTTCCATTTGATATTGTGAGAAAACTAATCAATTTTCTGTCAGTCATCTTCACAAGAAAATTTGCATAATGCACTAGCAGCTAAACTATCTACATTATCAGGTCTATTTCAAGGTGACCAAATGAATGGCAATCCAAATCAATCGACCGTAGGAGTGAAAAATACCATTTGTTATGTCACATGTGCCACCAGAGATAAAAACACCAAACAATTTAAATTCACATCACGTGGAATGCATAGCTTTCATGCTTTCATGATCAAATTGTGATAAAGAGACCCCAAATTTGCAAAATCAATCAGTATCTGATCAATTCCAATAGAACCACGTGTCAAGTAGCTGTCAATATCACAGGACAAAATGCAATACCAAACACAATACCAAACGCAATCCTCATTCTAGGCCAAATAGTACAAAATTATCTACGCAATCCTCATTCTAGGCCAAATAGTACAAAATTATCTCCTTATCTCTAACTGACCATACCTAAATTGGCTTTACTAAGGTTTATAGTTCTGATTGAAATCAAACTAGTGCCAGAAGGGTAAACTGATTTTCTTTCAGTGAATTTTTAATAATGGTGTCAGGTGATTGGCTTCGTGCTGTGGGGCCACTGACTTGATTACTGCCAGTCCTGTAAAACAGAACTGCTCATGTGAAAAGAGTGTGAACCCCGTCGCGTTATCTAGGCATGAACGAGATTTGCTCATTATTCTGATATTTTTGGGATTATCAACAGGAGGGATAGGCCAATTGTGAGTGATATGAACCACAAATATAGGTACTTATCAGATAGCTGATAGGCCTACGATGAGAGATTTGGTGACAAAAGCCTTGTGAAAATGTTATTTCACGTGTCAGCCTAAAATATGTCTGCTATTCTGTACATAACTTTGTATGGTGACTCTGCTTCTCATGATTTTTTAACCTTTCTTGCCTTTTTGTATAAATTTGTTATTATTATTTGTCTTGTAGGATTTCATAAAAGACATTACGGTAAAGTCTTGAAAATTTCGTCACNAGATGCATTGTAATCTTCGTTATAACTCCAAAAGTTCACAAAGATGAAGTCTACTAGATACTCTTCATTCTTGTCAAAAATTATATAAATCAATTTTTCTTAGGTTTTGGACTAATTCTCATAGTATTTAAACTTGTGAACTCAGGATTCAAACAGTCCCTCACCTCCTAACGGTTTTCTACTTTTTAGTGACAATGGTGTCCGATTTCTCCGCTGTATCAGTGGACTACTCCGCCTCTCGATCACCTTCTGTTTTAACACGGAACGCACCTTTAAATTGGGTTCGGAGGCTGAAATACAGATAACGATAACAGATAAATTGCTATACATGGCATTTTTATGGTAGTAGACTAATGAAAATTTCTCAATCAAAAAGGTAAACTGCTCGCAGCAGAGCTATCAGTATAAGAAAAACAATGATATTTTTGGTTCCCCTTAGTAGTTGGAAATCTGCAGACAGATAGAAAAATCTCATTCCTGTTAATCACACTACTAATAAAATAGTTCCTACCTGTCCTCCGTAATTGGTTTAGTTCATCAAACTGTCCCAGCAAGTGTGGCCGATAGGGCGGAGACAGGCTTGCACTGGGCGGAGAACTCTGATCTAGTGAACTGTGATGAGCCCTGGATGGAAAAGTTTGAGATGGAATTAAATATATCAAAATGACAAGGTATCCTCACAATATGCATTTGAAAAGACTACTATCAAATTAAGTGCTGCCTTAACAAGTTTATCACTTTTACTAAATCATTCATTGGGACAAATGAAACAAACTGCAATGGACCCTGAATCATTATACATATTTTAGATATGAATAAGGTGATTTAAAATTTGGCACCCTTACTGAAAAATTAAAAAGAGCTAAAATTGTTTTTAACTTCAATTTCATATTGTGAGAATATCAATCAATTTTCTGTCAGTCATCTTCACAAGAAAATTTGCATAATGCACTAGCAGCTCAACCATCTACATTATCAGGTCTATTTCAAGGTGACCAAATGAATGGCAATCCAAATCAATCGACCGTAGGAGTGAAAAATACCATTTGTTATGTCACATGTGCCACCAGAGATAAAAACACCAAACAATTTAAATTCACATCACGTGGAATGCATAGCTTTCATGCTTTCATGATCAAATTGTGATAAAGAGACCCCAAATTTGCAAAATCAATCAGTATCTGATCAATTCCAATAGAACCACGTGTCAAGTAGCTGTCAATATCACAGGACAAAATGCAATACCAAACACAATACCAAACGCAATCCTCATTCTAGGCTAAATAGTACAAAATTATCTACGCAATCCTCATTCTAGGCCAAATAGTACAAAATTATCTCCTTATCTCTAACTGACCATACCTAAATTGGCTTTACTAAGGTTTAAAGTTCTGATTGAAATCAAACTAGTGCCAGAAGGGTAAACTGATTTTCTTTCAGTGAATTTTTAATAATGGTGTCAGGTGATTGGCTTCGTGCTGTGGGGCCACTGACTTGATTACTGCCAGTCCTGTAAAACAGAACTGCTCATGTGAAAAGAGTGTGAACCCCGTCGCGTTATCTAGGCATGAACGAGATTTGCTCATTATTCTGATATTTTTGGGATTATCAACAGGAGGGATAGGCCAATTGTGAGTGATATGAACCACAAATATAGGTACTTATCAGATAGCTGATAGGCCTACGATGAGAGATTTGGTGACAAAAGCCTTGTGAAAATGTTATTTCACGTGTCAGCCTAAAATATGTCTGCTATTCTGTACATAACTTTGTATGGTGACTCTGCTTCTCATGATTTTTTAACCTTTCTTGCCTTTTTGTATAAATTTGTTATTATTATTTGTCTTGTAGGATTTCATAAAAGACATTAAAAGAATCTCTCTCTCTCTCTCTTTCTCTCTCTCTCTCTCTCTCTCTCTCTCTCTCTCTCTCTCTCTCTCT